AGAGAGCAGGGGCGGTTTCCCACCACAACAGAAATCAATCCTCGGGAGAGCGTGATGGCCATTACCACAAGAAGTGGGAGACAAATGGAGGACCCCAAGATGCCGGAAAGGAGAAAGACGCAGGAGGAACAAGAAGATGTTGCACATACGTCACTCCCACCTATCATGGCTCAATTTGTTCCTCCCATCCCTTACCCATAAAAATTGAAGAAGAAAGGAGATGATAAGAAATACAAGAAATTTCTTGATATTTTCAAGAAATTAAGCATCAACATACCTTTTGCGGAGGCCATTGCGGAGATCCCATCTTATGCAAAATTTCTTAAAGGTATCATCTCCAACAAAAAGAGGTTAGAAGAATTCACAACTGTGGCACTAACGGAGGAATGTAGTGCCATCATTCAAAACAAACTTCCCCCAAAACTTAAAGATCCTGGAAGCTTCACTATTCCATGCTCTATCGGAAAAATCGGGGAGGTAAGGTCTCTTTGTGACCTTGGTGCTAGCATAAATCTTATGCCTTACTCCCTATTTAAAAAGCTAAGTGTGGGGGAACTCCAACCAACAACGGTTGCTTTGCAATCAGCGGATAGAACAATCCGCTATCCGATAGGCATCATGGAGGATGTCCTTGTCAAAGTTGGAAAATTCTACTTCCCGGTAGATTTTATTGTTTTGGACATGGAAGAGATGGAAGTTCCCATCATCCTTGGGAGATCATTTTTGGCCACTTCCGCAGCCGTCATTGATGTACAAACAGGGACCGTAAGGCTAAGAGTGGGAGGAGACGATGAAACATTCCATGTATGGAAAACACAATCCATCCCAACTCAAAACATGGAGGTCAAGACAAATCATTTTACTCCTTCCATGGCCATAAATATCATGAACATCAAGAAGGCACAAATGTTTGAGCATGAGGAACCTCCAACACACGCCGGAAGCAAAAAGAACAGACCAACAACTTCATGGCCTCCGCACGAGCTCAACCCAAAGGCAACATTGGTCAAACATCTTCAAGAGCCCAATCACACGTGAGAGGTACGTTGCGTCCGGCCTATGACGTTAAACTAAGCGCTAATTGGGAGGCAACCCAACAAATTCAATTATAAATAAATATGTTTAGTTAAATACATATTCATATTTATTTATAATTGAAACCAAAAAAAACAAAAAAAAACAAAAAAAAAACAAAAAAAAAACAAAAAAAAAACACAAAAAAAAAGAAAAAAAAAATCATCTAAACTCAGGTGTCATGCAACTCCTACTCTCACAAGACGGTCCATTCTGCTATTGAAGTTTTCGTCCTCCATTGTATCCAAAAATGTACATTGAGGACAATGTATCTCAAGTGTGGGGGGTGCATCTCATGGTTAGTTAAACAAAATTTTGTGTGCAAAATATTTTTTTTTAGGAAGGTAAAACTTGTGATAATTCTCTTTTTAATGGGTATTTGGTTGAGAAAGTTTTGATTATTCACATAAACTATCATTTTTTTTAGATTTATTACACTACTCTTTACTCTTGAAAACCACCAAAAAAAAAACTTGTGACTAGGAACACCACCTTCTTTCATTTCCAAAAAATGGTTTAAGAACATCTCAAATATTCAAGAACCATTTTGGAAAACAAGCCACCCCATATCTCATCAAATAAATTGGGATCATCAAAATGACTTTGAGTAAATACTTGTTGAGAATCCATTCGGATGAAAAAAAACTCACGGTCTCTTCCAAGAACTTTAACCGATCCATTTCTATACTCAAAAGTCAAATACACAAAAAAAAAAGTCATCCTACACACTCAAAAAGTCCTAGTCACAATCCACTCATCTACTCTCAAGGGTATAAGTAATTTTTCTAAATCTAATGATAGTTTTGTGTGTCTAATAGAAAAAAATGGTTTTGGACCGAGAACGAAAAAAAGAGTTTATATACATTTTTACCTCTCTTAAAATTAAAATTATTTTTGTTCATATATTTTTGTTGAAACTAACCAAGGCATCCAAAGTTGAAGAAATTGCTTGAGTACAAGCAACGCTCAAAAGTGGGGGGATTTGATAGCCGTTGTATTTACTTGTGTTTAACATAAGTATTTATAAGTATTTGTTGAAGAAAGGAAGAGAAACCGGGCAAATACCTCCAGAATGAGAGCTAGAGCATAAAACATTGCGATGAACGACTTTTTAGACCAAGAGAATGACGTTCTGCCCATAATTTGAGTATAACGTATTCTATAGAACTCGAAATCACTCGATTCGAGTTTCATGTGAATGCTAACTCAATAAGGAACAAATGTTATGAAGACGTCATGGCCAAAATATGAAAGGAACAAGACTCAATCAACCAACAAAGTCAGATGTTGCTGGTGGGATTTCAGGATGCATACCTCTCAGTGTTTTAGCCATAACGTTTGATTGGATGAATAAAATCACGTCATTCAAGTTTTGGTGGATAGAAGACTTCATTATCTAAAATTCGTAGCGGAACATCCTCAAAATCCTGGGACAAAAACCGACACTTTTTGACCAATTTCAGAAGAAGAGAAAGGAAGCGCATTTTTGGGCGCTGCAACCGGCGCCGGTCAGCCTATAATCGGCGCCGGTTGGAAGGCTTTTTCGCACTAAACGAGCCTGTTTGCGACCGGGGCCGGTTCTAGACTGACCGGGGCCGGTTGGGACGATTTCAGCTCAAACAAAAGGCCGTGCAAGAGGATTTTTGATGGGAAAACTTCACCTTCCTCATCTCTTGATCAAATATTGATCCATACTTGATTGTTGGGCTCGAATAGACTAAAAGATGCCATTCTTTAGCCTATATAAATCCTTCAATTCATCAAGCAAACACATTCCATTCCATAGATTAATTCTTAGCTTTTATATTTTTGTTCTTGGTATTTTCTTCAAGTTCTTGAGGAGGAAACTTCAACCTCCAAAACCATTGGTGTTTAGGTATTATTTCCTTTGTAATTTCATGTTCCATTACATTTCATATTGTATTGTGATTAATATGAGCATTAGAGGCTAATTTCTTAGCTAAGGCTAGGGATGAACCTCTATGCATACTAGGTGTTTGATAAAAGTTCCGAACCAATAAATTGTGATTTATCCTTTATATTTTGATTGTTTATGACTATGGTGTACAACATAGAAGTATATTAAATTTAGTTTATGCTTGCAATTAACGTTGAAGTATAAACTATGAACATTAAAGGATAAACATATATAGTACCGAGAATAGAAATATATCCGGTCTTATATGATACGGGTGTGATGTCTTGATATTCAACGGGGTTTTCGGTAGATGAATGTAAGCCGTAACGGGACTTACACGTAACGAAAACCACGTTCTCGCTGCCTTAACCGGAGTTGAGAATATATTAGCGACATCGTATTCATAATTATTGGGGAAGAACTATTATTAAATAACTATTAAAGCATTTAGGTGAATCTCGACTGCCTTAGTAATTCTCATTCTTGTTTAAATCAATCTCAAAGAACAAAGTTCCTGAAAAATTATATCATTTATATTGTTTGCATTCAATACTCGACTTTATAATATCAACCATTTCCCTGTGGATCGACCCGGTATTTACCGGTATTTTATTACTACATCGGCACTTGTATACTTGCAAGTTTAGCCCGATCAGATATCAAGGGCCCTCCAAAATTCAAATACTTGGCGTGGCAAATTGCGGATGGCTCCTTACCCACAGTTGACAATTTACGGCGACGGGGTGTGCATATCGTGGGAGGGTGTAGACAGTGTGGGGCAGCAGAAGAGAATGAAGATCATGCTTTGCGGTCGTGTCCAAGGGTGGAGGAGATTTGGGCTAACGCTGGTTTCTTGAATCTTAATATGCATCTTTCTTTTAGTGATTGGTTTCAGGACCAGATTGTTAACCAGAGTGCTGAAGGTAGAGCTAAATTTGTAGCTCTATTATGGAGTATTTGGAAGACAAGGAACGAAGTTGTGTGGAACGATAAGGTGATGGGGGCAGAGGAAACCGTGAGAACCGCGACTAACATGCTTGATGCATGGCAGCGTGCGAATGCGGAAACCGGGAGGACGACCGTATTGCAGCGCCAGCAGGGAACTCCGAGCAGGTGGAGAAAACCCCCTTTGGGTTCCATAAAGATCAATGTTGACGGAGCTGTCAATCAGGGTAGTGGGATTCGAGCTTGGGGATGGATAGCGCGCGATGAGAATGGGCACTTCATTCAGGCTGGAGGAGGATCGGAGGCAAGAGAATGGTCCGTAGAGGAAACAGAAGCTAGGGGGCTAAGGAAAGCAGTTGAGGTTGCGGTTGCAGCAGGCTGGCAGCATGTGGAATTTGAATCTGATTCGTTAAGGGTGGTGGAAAATATTCATAAGGCATCTACCGGGAATTCCTACATTGATCTTATTATTGATGATATTTGGAGAATTGTGGAAACAAAGAGTACCTGGAGCGTCTCTTTTTGTAAAAGATCTGCGAATAAGGTGGCACATGCTTTAGCACGGTCACGCGTTAATCTCTCAGATCATTCAATATTTTTTGATTCTAGTCCTACTTGTATTGAGAGCCAGTTGGCGAATGATTTATTAATATAAGCAGTTTGTTCGGTGATCAAAAAAAAAGTAACCGATGATAAAATCGGTGAAATAAACGACTTTCCGTTCAGTTTTTAATAAGAACTAGTACAGTACCCGTGCATACGCACGGGACATAATTTATGGATATATTTGTAATCATGATGTAATTAATTAGAAAAGGAAACTAATTTCAAAAAATTGGTATTCTTCTTAGAAGCGAGTACAATATTTGAATATCATAAAGTGTAAGTTAATAAAATGAATATCAAGTTAAATTTTAAACCTAAGTATTAGAGATTTTGGAAAATCTCTTTGAATACAACATTGGTAGTAGTGTCTGATGACTTTCCATCCTTATCATGTATTAAAATCTTCAATCCATGTTTGCTTTGAACTCTTGATAATGCCACATACAATTGTCCATGACTAAAAACAGGTCTTGGCAGGTATAATCCAACTCTTTCCAGTGATTGTCCTTGAGATTTATTGATTGTCATCGCATATGAGACCATTATAGGAAATTGTCTTCTGATAAGTTTAAAAGGCCATGGTGATTGAGAAGGAGACATACACATTCGAGGTATGTAAATCTCATCTCCAATATTGCCTTCAGACATGATTCGTGCTCCGATGACATGATTTCCCAGTCTTGTGACAATCAATCTAGTTCCATTACATAGTCCTTCTGACTGGTCTATATTTCTTAGCAACATTATTGGAGTCCCAACCTTAAGTCGTATGTTGTGATTTGGGAGACCTGATGTTCTTAAGGAATTGAGAAATTCTGGTGTCAACGCTTCAAATGCTTCTGCTTCAACTACATCTGACTTGTCTACACAATCGCAACTTAAATATTCTCTTTCTTCACCTGTAGTTATAAAATTTCATTAGTCTTAATTTAATTATTAAATTTGTTTAATAATTTATTTTGTAAGTAAATAAGGAAGGTAGCATTTTTATAATATTACCTGGGAGCATTGAAAGAACATAGTCGTTTATTTTATCGACAATTTCAATAGTTGATGCCAAGACAGCTCTAGACTTGAGAAATTCCTCATTTTTGTATTGCTCCAGTAAGTTAGGATACGTACTACGAATTATTGCATCAATTGGATCATCAAATTCTTTAATCAAGAATTCATCTGGAATTTTTATTTCTGCATAACCATCGTTTGGCTCTGATATTTTTCCATCCCCCACATCCAGTATCCATTTTGAAAATTCTTTGAGCTCGGTAGCACTTGTCATATCCAAACTATTTTGAAGTCGCATATTTTTAGTAAGAGACAGTACCTATCAATAAACAAAAAACAATAATACATATATTTGAGTATAACTTGTAAAGTAATTATTTAAAAAAAAATATAAAGTGATTAGGCGAAATAGTTAAATAATTAATGTAATTAGTGGTACTTTGTTTAAGGTAGAAGTGAACGAATGAATTTGAGCTAATATAAAGTAATTAGTGGTACTTTATTATTCATTATATTGTGGTTAAATGAATTTGTAAACTATAGTAAAAGTAAATATATTTGTTATGGTACTAAAAATGGAGTTAATACCTGACAGTCATCCCATAGATATGAAGAATTGATTGTAGCATTAACAATGTCTGAACGGCTTCCGCCAGGAATAACTGGTAAAGTTTGTCTAAAGTCTCCTCCAAAGACAACCACTCTTCCTCCGAATGGTAAAATTGAATCACCATCGTTGTTGATGATGTCATTTAGGCTTCTGTCTAGTGCTTCAAAACAAAATTTATTAGCCATTGTTGCTTCATCCCATATTATCAACTTAGTCTGTTTTAAGAGCTCTGCAAGTTCACTCCCTTGATGTATATTGCATGTAGAGTTCTCTAGAGTGGGAACTGGGATTGAAAATTTAGAGTGTGCAGTTCTACCGCCAGGTAAGAGTAGAGAAGCTATACCACTGGACGCGACAATTAAAACAATATGGCGCTGAGAACGTAAGGCAGAAGCTAGTGTCCTCCACATAAATGTTTTTCCTGTACCACCATAACCATATAAAAAGTATACTCCGCCTTTTTGGTTAGTCACAACTTCCATTATTGTGTCAAATATGCGTTTCTGTTCATCTGCAACATTAGCATCAAAATATATGCAGGAAATCATTTTTTTTCTTGACTCTCAAAATCATTTAATTTGACTTATAAATCATATGAATTGTATTTATTTTACCAGTAAGAGAAGCATACAAAGTTTGGAACTCCTCACGCAACTTGGATGTATCATAATCACGTTCTGCATAAATAAGCCTATTCCCTAGTTGTTCCGTGATATATCCATTTGGATACGGTATTGAGGGATAATCTTTTAGACTTTTTCTCTTTTTCTGCATCAACTTCTCGATCTCCACAAGAGTTAAATTTTGCAACTCTTGATCACTAAGTTGTAAATCTACAAATGTAATAAACACAATTGAATTAGTAATTAGAAGAAGATGTTCATGTGTATGTGTTCACTCTCATTATGTTTTTATTGTAAATCATTCAATTTGTCACATTGATGCAAATAAATTACAAATGAGATATGCAGACAATTGAAATTATGAAATATTTTTATTTGAATATATTCTTTTATGAAAATGAATGACAAATTTACGTTACTTGACAGGTGAAATAAATTATATGTTACTTGATACGTGAATTATTTTAATACTTAAGGTAAGAAAAGTTGATTGCAGTAATCGGAAAATAATGTTAATTTATGGTAATAGGAAATAACTAATTTAATGTTATACTAATTTTTTTAATTATGTAATTAGTAAAAAATTTAAAAGAGTAACATAGATCTGCTAAAGTAATCATATATACTTTATGTTTTCTAATCGAATTAAAATATAATTAAGGTGAATCCAATTCAGGGTGATACTTTTAATCACAAATCTTATTACTTTTTTGGTAGAGTAAGCCTCATGAATAATTTTTCATATTACAAATGATTAGAGAACAATTAATTTTTAATTGATCTGACTTACCTTGGATTTTCGAGAGCCTTCGTTGTTCATACAAAATTCCATCAGCCAACCACTGCCAAGTTTGTTCCCATACATGCTCAGGTCTGCTGACGGGACATGATAAGAGCAGAGTTACAAACAATTTTCTCAAGTAGTGCCCTGATGCCCAGTCCTTAACTTCTTTTAATGCTCCAATATATTCTTTATCATCCCCAAGTAATCCCGCCGCAAAACACGCTTCTCTAAAGGTCGGATATTGAATGTTGGCAACCGTCCTAATATCCTCATAACAATGTGGCCCTTTTGTTACAGTGAGCATCATTCTTAAATAGAATAGTTCACCTGTTGTTGGAGGTACCCAGATGAGTCTACCAATAGTGTAACCCTTCGTTCGTGGCTTCCAACACCTCTTGCTAGCTACATACACAAATCTTGAAACGAACTTTGCATAGGTTAAGTCTTTTCCTTCTGGATAGATTTTGTTTGCTTGCATCCAAGATGTAAACATTGATTCTTTAACAGTTTTTCTTGTTAGCACAGACTCAAGGTTATCGTTGTCACTGAAGAACACGGATTGCTCATTGGGTAGGTGAAAAAAAAGTCTTTCGACGGCTGGAGATCTACCATGAATAGGAAAAGAAAAAATCCTCCAACAGGCCTCACATGGTGAGACATACCTGCAATCAAGATATTGCTTGATCTCATCAATATTCTCATTTTGGGGCGACACATCATCGTGTGTTGGAACAATAACGGCTGTAATCCGGTCATATCCTTTGTTGATATACTTGAATAAGTATTTGATCGAAGTGCTTTGATTACACCATTCCATGTTGATATGCGCTTGGTACTTTAACAACAATTTTGGATTATAAGGCACAACATGACGATTGTCAAAGATAGTATCAGATTTTTCAATTTTCCTTCCATTGGCTCTTCTCCTATAAATAGGATAACCATCTTCGTCAAGCGTCGTTGATTCCTGAAAAAATTGTAAATGTTATATATTTCATGTGTTCTTAAAATTTGAAATTGATGTTTAGCTTGTAGTATTAGTCTATCGTGCGATAGAGTATAAGTTTTGATTTATTTTTCATGAGGGTCCTACATGCTTAAAATTTATAGTAGTGATTGTGTATAAAAGTTACATTTTTTTCAATATGAGTAGTTAATACCATAGTCATATACTTCTTATTATTTATTAGTTTGTAATATTTTAGTCTAATTTTATATCATTCATTAGCAAATGTATGAAACTATTGCGACGATATAACTTAATCTACCTGTTTGTAACGATCTAAGTCGTAATATCCCAAATATCTTAAGTAAATGTAAAAATATTAATTTTGATTGGTAGTAACTCTAGTAAAATAGTGGCTATGTGTGCAGTCACATATTTAGATTAATTGATTAGCAGAATTGGGATGTCTCTATTATATGGAATTCTATATCAGACCACACATATCAAACTTAAGTGATGTATTCCTGATTAGACCAGACTTGGGGTAATACAAATAAAATGTGGTGTTGTTTATTTATTTATTTATTAAAAACAAACTTGCCTGGAATTGCTTAGGATAATACTTGTTGCACTTTCTGTCCTGCATGCACGGCGATGAAGGATTCGCTAAACCGCATGGACCATGAATCATGTGAGTTTTGACCAAGTTGTATAATTCTTTCTCAGACTCTTGATCAGGTATCTCTGCTGAGATAATCTTATCAATATCATCGGCTGTTGGGTACTTGCTCGAAGGATGCAAAAAAATGAGTATATGACCATGGGGCAATCCTCTTTTTTGGAACTCAATTGTATGCATATCTGAAAATATATTAGCAAAATAAAATTTATAATAAATGAATTGCAACTGTAAACGTGTAGTTTGAATAAGAAATATGTAATGAATTCATATTTAAAACTTACATGCAAGAACTTTTCCGAATATATGCCTTTTCCTTAAATCTGTTAATAACTCTTCAAACTTGATTCTGAAGACCCTTGCAAGAATATCAGGACGATCATGTGGCTTCAAGTTTAATGGTTCAAGTACTCTCTGAATCTCAGGCCAGTTGGGATTGCAAGTGAACGTGATAAAGAAATCAGGAAAGCCAACAAAACCACAAATTGCCATACCATCAAAGTAAAGTTGATCCATGTATCGACGACTTCCTACAAATGTCGACGGTAGTACAATTCTTTTTCCCTTTTCAGATCCTTGACCTTGTATGTCGTGATTTGGTTGACTGAGGTTACTGTATTTATCAACTCTTAGCTTTTTCTGGTTTCTCCTGATAAAAGATAACCTCTCTGACTCAAGCATAGTATAGCCATCAACCACAAATTGCTGAAATAATCTTCTTGATCTCAGCAATGTGAGCGCCTCTTTTTTCCTGGTTTGTAGTCTAAAACACAGCCACTCTCTTATGGTAAGACGTTTTCTTATAGAACTATTAGAACTACCCGTATCTCTATGAAGCACGTCATGCCTGTATCCATCCTCTCCATAAGGAAATAAAAGGGGATACTGATAACTCAAATAGCTAGTATGCAACTCACTTATTCGCTGAAGTGTACGACTTTGGGTCTCCATTATTATATCTCTTTTTGATGAAGTGTCAACATCTCCAACAATAAGAGCAGCAACTTCTGAAACCGTAGGAAGATTATATACTCGGCCATCGCTAACTCTGTCCGAAATCAACTTTAACCGCAGATCCTGCATAGGTGCGTCTTGCAGTCTTTCCTTAGCCATCCTAAAGGATTTTGCATGCACATTGTATTCATGTAGCATGGCTGATAATTTGCTCACAATCTGATCATCTATGTCATTTGGGTTTCTACAAAGCATCAAATAAAATTGAACAATCACATATAATGAGAAATAATAATTAATAAAATTGTTTTTAGTGTTCTTGATAAAATTAATGCACATGCTAACCTTACTCCTCGAATCCTATTTTGTATCTCATGCTCAGTATCATATATGTATAGTTGGGCAAACTTTGGAGGTTGACCTGGCATAGGTAACATGCTTCCCACTCGATGGCATGTTTGACCCTGTATTTTGAATGTCGGCGGGCCTCGACCATCGTTGATTGACTTGTCAATTTTTGCACCAGGCGATGTGAATGCAAACATCATATTGTACACTCTAATATGTTGTTGATAGTTTTTGCTATCAACATCATTACCAAACAAAAGATGCTGAAGAAGTATAGGGGGGTCCTTGAGTAGTGGCAATTGAACTTTTCCCTTCCCACAACAAAGATTATACTTAGGTAATGTGGTGTCTTTATATTTATTTGATCTTTCTTGATACCACATGCATGCCTTGCATTTTTCACACTCAATAAGCGGATCTCCAATATCAAAGTATCCTATAAACGAATAAATATTTATCATAAGGAATAAATGGTGAATATGAGTTAAATTGCACTAAATTATTTAATTATTGATACCTTGAGCAAAATCAAATTCTGTAGCACTTTCATGAGGATCGGGTGACTCCTCGTTTGAACTCGTGTCATCATCAAGGGCTAAATCTATTTGAAAAGAATATTGAATTAGCATATGAAATCAATGTTGTGTTATTTATATTGATGATTAGAAGTTCTCGGTTACCTTCAAATTGATCAACATCACTATCAGAATGAATTTGTTCATTTCCTTGTGGGCCATACGTTTCATGTATGCTCACACTCTGACTTGAATTTATAGCTTGGTTTTGGCTCATATAACGCATGCCTTGGCATGATGATGATGGAGTCGTATTGCAAGGATTATGCACAACAACTTCATTGTCAAAACTTAGACTCTCTTCTGAAAATTTGTTCATTAGATTTACACCTCTAGAATCATCATAGATGGCTCTTCTTTTTCTTTTTGATTGATCTCGGATCGCACTTAACTGTGTGTTCATGTACAGACCACTCAAGATTGCATTTGTTGAGGTTCCCACTTCTTCATTAGAATCAAAATTTGTAAGAGAATGTTGATTTTGAACAACACATGTTGTATCAAAAGTTAATAAGATTTTATATTGAATAAATGTGATAGACATGTATAAAGAGATATCATTTCAATGCGTTGGATGCATGAAAAAAAAATTATTTCCAAAAAATTTGCAATTTATTATCATTTACAAACATGTATTAAAAAGCATACATGTGTATTTATGTGTTCAAATTTGTAATAATTTTAAACATCATATAAATATGATATACATGTATTATCATATATGAGTTTGACACTAAACACAATACCAGTATTTTGCAGTTGACTGCGTATATCTTTCTGCAGACTTCCACTTTGAAATTGATGTTGTTGTTGTAAGAAAGATCTTCTTTTGGAATGTGATTCTATGGCCACATCTCCTTTAGCTGTTTGGTTGCTTGCACTGTGAAAATGTAAGGATCGCATAAAACGTATGATTATTTAATTTTTATTTATAAGTCTTATAAGTTGTGATTTTGTGTTATGAAATACCTTCCATTTAAAATGATATTTGTGATGTTAGAGAGTGGAAGGTAATGTCCTGGTGAACTGTCCATGATATTTGCATTGCTACTTGCGTGAAGGAGAGGACTATAAGAGTACGTGGCTATATATAAAGTCCATGAATAATTAATAATTTACAATTGTCATAGGATAAAGATAAATAAAAAAAAGTATAATGAAGACATGCATGCAATAACTCTTGAGTTGTACCATTGTTGAGTAGCATGCTTTCATTTGATGTCCCTACACTTTTTTTGCCTTTGTTATCTACATCATGGGGAAACTCTTGGACATTGTTGTTTGCGAGGAAACCTTGAACGGTAAAATAATTTAAATGTTAATGATATATAGCAATGTAAAATATATTTGGAGGTAGGGAATTCAAAGTTGGACTTAGCTAAGTATGTGTTTTAGATTGCAGTTATGAATTTACCTCTCCTCCTGTGATGTAGAATATATCTCCTTCTAGCACGTGCTCTTGCTGCCTCCACATTCCTTTTTATGTTTTGAGTATTTATGCTATGAACACTTGTCAGCCATGGTATTAATATATTAATATAAATAGTGCTTTGATGACAATCGATTTACCTTGTAATGAGGGCAAACCTTGTGTAGTCAGGTAATGTAGTACTTGTTATAGATTCCTCCGTAACTCCATTTTCTATTGCATTCATGAAAAATGTGTAAAGAAAGATACAAAAAAGTACTCAATAAGAAAATATAATTTTGTCTATACCCATATCAAAATTTTCATTGTTGACCCTTCTATGTGCTTCTCTTGCTTGTAGAATTGATTTTCTTTTGCGACGTGCTTCCGCCGCATCCATTTTTATTCTTGCACTGTAATGAAAACATATTAGAAAATAAGAGTACTAAATTTGAACAAATTTTGAGTCCCAAGATTCACGCTATATGTGTATATATATAGAATAAGGTTCAAGTGAGAAAATGATCTTAGGAGAGAAATGAGAATGAATCTGGACCGTTAAATTGTATTCTGTGAAATTGAAGGTGCATTTGGTGAAACTGAAATGTTCATTATGTGAAATCGTAATGTGCAGCACAAAAGATAAAGCACAATGGCATTATATGAAGCCGAATTGTGCATTAGATGAAACTGAAATGTGCAGAGAAAAATAAATTACCAACTTGTTAATTGTAGAATTGAGATCTCCACCAATACGCTGGGTATAAGCTGGCTATTTCGAAGCTATGTGTTCATAGAATTGATTACAATAAACTTATATCATAAAGTGTAAACCTATACAATAAATTTTCAATGAAAAGTATATTTTGAAAAATTAATTGACACCACTCATTAGAATATGTTACTTACTAATTTTCATACGGGAGAAACATAAAGTTTAAGTGAATAGAATAAATATTAAGATTAATGAATATTAGTTAAATAAGAACTTGTCACACATTAGTTAAATTAGTGGTAATATATGACGAAAACAATTATTCTGCTGAATTCTTAGTTTCCTTATCTTATACCTAAAAGAACTACATGGGTGAAAAAATTCCGACTTATATGTAAGTTTGGGGTACTCACCTCATACACCTTTAAAGTTTGAGATATTTTAATATTTTCATTTAAAAATATTCGTTTAAAAATATTAAGATTAATGAATATTTGTTAAATAAGAACTTGTCACACATTAGTTAAATTAGTAGTAATATATGACAAAAAAATTATTTTGCTGAATTTTTAGTTTTTTTATCTTATACCTAAATGAACTACATGGGTGAAAAAAAAATCCGGCTTATATGTAAGTTTGGGGTACTCACCTCATACACCTTTAAAGTTTGAGATATTTTAATATTTTTATTTAAAAATATTCGTTTATATTGTTCAATTGGCAATGGTGAATATATTGGATTTCTTCTTGTTATTATAATATTGGTATATTTTTTATATTATATAAGGGCTGATTTTTTATCTTCCAAGTCCCAATAAATCTATATTAATGGAATGATGATGATGAAAATATGAAACTACAATAATTATTTTTTCCATACCGTAATTGAGGCTTTGTAAGAGTTTCATGATGCGTTGGTGCAGCCACTCGTTATCTGATCCACAATCCTGAAGAAATCATAGGAATTATGAAAATAGACCTTTGTACGTATTGTATAAACTGCTGCGGTTCTTGTGCAAAAAGCTTTTACAAAGCTGCCGAGTTATGATAGGGAGCTTCTTCTGCAAAAACCTGCTATAGAGCTGCCAAGTACGTAGGTAATGGAGGCTAGGTATAATTAAAGTATAATGTAATTGACTCGGTTGTGTTATGACTCTAGGCCTTTGACGTTATTGTTCTTGGCCCAAATTTTATCCTTAATTGTAGTTTAGTTAAGGATGTTTAATTTTCATTCATTTAAAATTTCATGTTTTGATTTGATCTGATTTGGGATAATTTGTTTGGTTTGAATCGGTCTGATTTATTCTGGCGCCCTTGAATACCTCACTCTCAGCAGACCTGGCTTAGATGTCTAGTCTCTATGTATTTTATAACTATTCAAGTCTGATCCAGTCTGTTCTGAACTGATTTGTTTGGTAACATTTGAGTTAGCAGAATCTACTGAATCTATTAAAATAATTGAAATTTGTTACGACTCAGTTAATTAGATATGTTGAATGATGAAAGTAAATATTTGAATTATTTTTTAACAATCTAAATAATATTACATCCGTCCCTTTGGTTTCACACGCTGAATTGAGTAATAAGTTAAATAAGTAAGGTTGAAGTTACTTTTCTGGTTGATTTGGCTAACGTTACTTTTCTGTTTTAATTTTCATTCATTTAAAATTTCATGTTTTGATTTGATCTGATTTGGTATAATTTGTTTGGTTTGAATTGGTTTGATTTATTCTGGCACTCTTCAGTACCTCACTCTCAGCAGATCTGGCTTAGATGTCTAGTCTCTATGTATTTTATAACTATTCAAGTCTGATCCAGTCTGATCTGAACTGATTTGTTTGGTAACATTTGAATTAGCAGAATCTACTGAATCTATTAAAATAATTGAAATTTGTTACGACTCAATTAATTAGATATGGTGAATGATGAAAGTAAATATTTGAATTATTTTTTAACAATCTAAATAATATTACATCCGTCCCTTTGGTTTCACACGCTGAATTGAGTAATAAGTTAAATAAGTAAGGTTGAAGTTACTTTTCTGGTTGATTTGGCTAACGTTGTTTTAGTAGATATTATTAATAATTTTTTTTGTTTATTTTATATATTAATAATAGATAATTTAAATATTGATTTTGTATAGATCAATATATCTATCAATCTAATCATCTTCATAAAATTCAGCAGTATCAATCGATTCAATCAATTTTAATCTTATCAAACGGTCTCTAAGTTTAAGAAGCATGCTTAAATTATGTTTGTAATTGTTTCACATTCAGTTTTAGACCAGATCACACTTATTAGAACAGAACACATAAACATTTTATCAAATCAGATCAGAGTTCGGTTTAAAAAAATATACTACCTCCGTCCCGAATTGATTTGCAAATTTGACTTTTCTTGGTCAAACAGTTGCGTTTTGTTCACTTAATTAGGATGCCAATTTTTAATTATATTCTAATTTGGAGTTTACAACTTTGAAGAGATTTTGATGTAGTTTATGAATATAAAAATTTTATTTATTAAAAATTAAATTAATTATGCATAAGAAGGGTTGACTTTTATTATTAGTTGACCAAAAAATGTTGACTTTGCAAAACAAATTGGGACATAGGGAGTATCAGAGTTAAATCGAGCTGATTAGAAAAGTTAGTTTAAAAATAGATTTTCATAGGTGAATTTTAGTCTAAAACATAGGGAGTACATGTTGTCCTGAAGTATATGTAGAGAAGAAAATAGCACGTGTGATAAAGGTGAAATTAATAAGGCTAGGTATTAATAATGGTAAAGGTAAAAGTCATATTTTTGTATTAGTTCATTTTCATTCATACATTTTTCATTAGAAGATATTATTTAGGATATTTTTACTTGGACTGTAATTTGCTGGTCTGGTCTGGTCTGGTCTGGTCTGATCTGGTCTAATCTGGTCTGGTCTGAACTGGTCTGGTCTGGTTTCTTTGTATTTTTATAACTATCCAAGTCTGGTCTGGTCTGGTCTGAACTGGTCTGGACTGGGACAAATTACAGTCCAAGTAAAAACATCCTGAATTTTGAATAGTAAGCAGGGTTCGCTCCCAAAAAAGTGTAAGCATGGTTGTATAAAAGCATATGGACAATCCTTTCTTAGTAGTAAACACGGTAAAATCATATCGATGGTTGTTTTCGGTCAATTGAATAAGAAAATAACTCCAACCTCTTGATTATTCATCTGCCCTTTTTACTCACAAACTACTTTTAAATTGATTTTAATATAGTCATATTAAGATGTGTGTGAGGGAAGTTAAGCACAATAATAAAATCAACTTTAAGCTTATGAGCTGTCAAAAACAAAGTTGTAAATAAAAGTATAATAAATGAATATTAAAAACAATGTCACTTCATAATTTATTATCAAACCGTAAACAAAAGACTTGATTTAAGAAAAAAAAAAAGGTAGATTAGGAATGTGCTCATGTCTATCAGTTCATCCAACAAACTTATTTTTGTTTACTCTTTCTTTATGAGCTTTCGAATCTTTGTTGCTGAAAACTGTGTAGCTGCATCTTGGGTTTGGAGGTCGTCAAACTGTTTCTCCATTGGTCTTTTGCAAGGTGTAATAGAAGGTGATAAGACATCGGGATCATGATCCGCTGTAGTGGACACAGATTGCTGTACAAATATGTGAACAACAATTCGGCATAATTAATATTTTATTAAATAGAATATGAATCATTAAAGTGTAGTATATCACTTAGACTTACACTTTCACATTGAACATGCTCGTCAAGAACAGATCCTCCATTAGTATCATTGGTCTTTTCCTAATTAAAAATAATAATGTTAATATTAACAACAATATACTAAAGATCAGAACATTAGCATGCCATTAGTTTTTTTATTCAATGATTTCCAGTATAATAAATTAACAATGTTCAAAGGGCCATAAGTGTATTGCTATTGTACTTTAGCTAAATAAACTGATTTATTACACAGATTGTGAGCAACGGGAACAGAGAGGGGCAAAAAAGAAGTGCTTGAGAATCACTGCTATAAAGTACTCATGTGGACACAAATTAAGGTCTTTACTTTGGTGGGATCTTCCACTTTTTGCTATATACTATGCATGAGAATGAGTATAAAAGCTACTGAAAGCAATATTACGTAGTATTTAATAATGCTAATCATGATCTTAAAGAAGAATATGAGTAAGTGCAAATAAAGGAAGCAAATGAAACAAAAAAAGTATGAGTATAACTGATATAAGTGACGTTTTTAATAGTTTGTTCCAGAACACACACTCTCTTCTTTTAAACACAATGAGAAACAAATCTTGTGCACTGCTTGAAGCAGCAGACATTTTCAATAGAATTAGTATCTCAGGTTATATAATAGCTACATATAGAGTTGCCTTAATAAATTTAAATAAACCCACAGAGCTAATTCCTAACTACCTACATACACTAATACACTATGGTTGTAGAGTTGCAGCAAACGATATATAAAGAAAGGAAAGAAAAAAAAAACAGATGCCATGAATGTTCAGACGATAAAAGTTGTCATTCCTTCTGCACTCATACGTGTGTTGCAAAGCATGAGAATGAGTTAATTGGATGTATATAATATTCCAAGAACAAATGTGTGGACAGATCTTTTATACATTAATTATCTGGCATCCATTTAAAAGATTCTGATGTTGATACATTCTTATGTTGAAGCTAATTAGCAGGCTGCCTCTAAAAAATAAATTCAGATAAAAAAGGAAGCAGCACCCATCTATATACTTGGTTATTTTTTAAACATCAATTGACATGAATCAAAGAAAAATAAAATGACAGAATAATAATAAAACAAAATGGCTAAAACAGAAAAAATGCATTTAAAGGAATGAAAAAACGTGGTTAAAAAGATGCATTTAAAATTTTCTGATGTTAATACATTATTAAATAAAGTTAGAAAAGTAAAATAATTTCAGGTGACATATACCTCACACGTATCAAGTTGCTCTGTTATGAACTTTATGATCCCTGCATCCTCAGACACTTTAAGTACTGATGCAGAACTGTATGTTGGTTGCATCTTCACTCTAAATGCCATAGTCCTTCCCAGCAACTCATCAAGTGCTTCCGGATAAGATAGTGGATCATCTTCCCCTTCCTTTATAAGTGATATGTTAAATATAGGAAAAACTTATAACATCTGGTTATAAAATTTCAAAATTTCAAAAGAGGTAATAATGATTTCATACTTGCAGCATTTCAATTTTAAGCTCATTGGCTGTCTTCCTGATGATCTGGATACACTCTTGATCCCACAACACAAATTTAGTGCAGTCTTTTTTATTATAGACCATGACTTCTAATCTATACCTATTAAGGAAATAAGACATTAGTACTGTTCACTCATAATATATATAGTATCTTTCGGCATCAAAGGTAGCAGATAACAAACCTTAGAATAGACTTGTCATTGAATTCCTTCACATTTGCATGTGAAGGAATTACTGTGCGCCTCAGCTTTTTTAGTGCACCCAGAGCAAGCCTCATAGCTCCACCCACTTTTTCCAACTATAAACTTCACAATTGTGCCGACCGTGACACATGTAGTTTCCTAGATAATATTATGAGATATAATGTTAGAAAAGAATAAAAGCCAAATTTCTAGAAAATATTGATGCTCAAAATATAATGTTATATTATTGGTGTACTGATATTTCTAAACTAATTGAGATTTATTGAGATTTATTTAAACCTCTGTAAGGCAATTGATATCTGAAATACTCATAACACTGGCTCGATATATCAGCTTGTCTTGCTCTGTGAACTTGGAATTTGAAATTTGATTGTGACTTTGACTGGGTGCTTCACTCACTTGTCCCGAGCAATAGCTGTTATTATTCGAAATGTGGATTACATATTTAACAATGAAAATAGTAATAAACGAAGTATGTGAACTACAAAATCATAATTGTGATAACACTCATAGGCAACTGAACCTGTCTTTGAATTTCTGAATGTCCACAATGTCCTCATTAATAAGCAACTTGGATCTGTACTTACTATTTTGGATGTATGTGGGATGTATTCCTAACATTTCAAAAAAGCATATAAATCATAACATATTTATTAAGCATATATATGTGAAAATTTTCTATTCATGTATGAGTACCATAATAAAAAAATCAAGTTTACCTTCTGGTTCTTTGATTTTCGCTTGCGTCAATATGACAACAATTAACTCAGATTTATGCTTGTCATGTAACTCCAAGAACTTTGAAGCATAATCTTCCCATAAAGTACATGTCATTATATCACCACTGCATTACAACATAATATTTTAATTAATTAATGAAAAATGATTTCAAAACTGTAGAGATACGCAATACAGTAGGAAAAATAATGAAAGTAAATGTCATCACCTTAGATCTTTCATCAAAAATGATACTTTTTTCAGCGGAGAACTGATGTCAGAACGCACAATTTCACAGAAAGCTCCAATTATATCTATTTAGTCAAACAGACATGGAAGTGTGGCATTGAGATAGTTATGTTTACGTAGTTATTATGAGGTGGGAAAAATCGTAGTCGTGTAATTTGGGATGAAAACTTACCAACCAAAACATCAGTACGGAGATTACCACTTAAAATATCACTGAACTTTTTAAAGGTATAGTAATCTCTAGGAATGTCAGGCAGTTCTTGATGTTTCACACTTGTACCACCTGTAAATTGGAGCTTGAATGGGTGATCACATGCCTTAAACTGTCCATCATTGCACAGTATACTGAAGTTTTGCATCACATATGTTTCCTTTTCTTTGATCTTCGACTTGCACGTTACCACCTCAGCATTTCTTGCAATCGCCTGAATCTTATGTCCCTAATTTATGAGAATTGTTGAATAGTTATTTATGAATTTAAAAGTTAGAGTAATAGATTCATTTTAAATGAGAGAAAAGATAATTAAACCTTTGCATCCATTAAAATCATTTCAATGAACTTCGAAGGAGACTGCACAGAACATAGTGATATAACCCGTACTGCAACCTTCCATGTCTCTTTGGTGTCATTGATCTCTTCAATTGGGTTTATTTTCCGTGCCATATTGATTGAACTAATGAATTGTAAATAAATCATTTAGAATTTTTCCAGATGAAAAGTTTCAGATGTAAGCATAAATTTATTAAAGAAATAAAAGGAACACTTCTACTGCTTCAATAACCAAGTAGGCACAGAAGAAATCTGGAACATACAATGTTTGTTTACATCACATAAGTTACTTTAATTTGGTAAATTAAATGCTGGCTGAAAACAATTTGTTTGAAACCCAGTGTTAAGAAATTTATAATAGGCAAACAGATCATAAATTTTGATCTATTAAGAAGAGAAATTTTTTTCAAAATAGGCCTCTCTTATAAACGTATCTTGGATTTTTCATTTTCGACCCAACAGAATAAAAAACATCCTCAACTAAACAGAACACTAAAATGCATTTGTATGAATTAAAAACATGTCTAACTATTCTAATCTAAGAAAAGAAATTGAACCTGGCCATTGAAAAACCAAAGAATCGGTGGTGCTATAATAGGCAATAACCAAAGAAATTATTGTTTTGATTAGCTAAGCCAGACATATGAGTGATACACACACATAAACACTTTATCAAACAACAAATGTGCAAAATATAATCAAAGCTGGACTGAAGGTATAGTCAAAGAGATTCGTGAAAACAGATCAAATGAACAATTAGAGACTACCTCTGCTACTTCGAACAACAAATGTGCAAAATATAAACAAAGGCGATGATATTACATAGTAGAGTATGAGATTACAGAACGGAGAATTGGAGAAATGAAGAATTAGATAGAGATAGTACCTCTGGCACTGGGGCAGTGAAAGTATGAAGCCCTAATGTCGATCCACATTTATATATAGTGGCGGTGTAATTTGAGGGTTTCCTAGTTTCAGTGAAGAGGCGGGCGCTATATTATCGGAAACGATTAGAGATGGAGAGTTCTAAAGGTAAGCAATCAGCGTGAAATCGCAGGGCATAGAAATCGCTGGGCGCTGAAATCGCTGGGCGTTGAAATCTTGCGCAGAAGATAAAGATGGAAATTGGGAGCGTTCTTTTTTTGGGAGATGAATCAGCGCTCTTTGTTGATGATTTGTGAGCATAGCAACTTTAAAAATTAGAAAGAAGAAGCCACGTGGCATCAGAATAAGAAAGGAGAGAAAACAGGAATGAGCAACACGTATGCATAAGTAGGGGCAAAATGGTATTTAGTAGAGCCATTTGTTTTCTTATATATAATAATATAAATATAAATAGAAGAATGGCAAAAATATCACTTGTGGGATTTACATAGACAAAAATATCACTTTTTCTAATCTAGACAAAAAAAGTGATCATTTTAAAATTAAAAAACTTTCGTCGACTCCCAAGCGCAGCAAATCGAATGAAGCTTTCTTCTGAAATTTCTGTCCATCACCTCTCATCTTCTCCCATCGCCAGATCGCCTCTCATCTTCGTACATCACCTCTCATCTTCGAATTACGTCGCCGCCGCCTTTCGTCCGCCATCTTCCTCTCTCACCACCGCTGCAAGGTCTCTCTGCTTCACCGCCAACTTCACCCACACATCCTTCTTTTTTTATATTTCTATCTAGCTGCAGGGATGATGTGATTCCCAATGATGGAGCGCAAATGGAGTGATTCCGACTACAAAGGGGCTAAATCCGAGCTTTGAGGGTTATGGATACGATGGGCGAGCATCGAGGGCAGTGATCGACCGCTGCCGGTTTCGGATCTGCCAACCTCGGTGGATGACGGCTCAGGTTTGGCGATGCCGGTCCTGGATCTGCCGAATCCACCGTCCTCGAAGTTGGAAAAGACTTGAGGGACCGATAAGAGGCGGGGCAGGGGAGGGTGCTGGAGACAGGGGCTGGGTGGGATCTGATGTGAAGGGCTAGGGGCGGGGAGTGGGGGCTGGGTAGCGATTCGGTGTGTAGCTCTAGGGGAGGGGAAGGGGCCGGGGACTAAAGTATGCTGCTAAGGGTAAAACAGTGGGCTGGGATGGGGCAGGATTGCGGTTGTGGACGGGATGGGGACGGCGGTGGAGGATGGAGCAGCGGCTGCTAAGGACGGGGCGGCGGTGGAAGTCGTAGTGTTGTTGTTGGCGACTTGGCGGTGCGGCGCCAAAAAACATTCTAACAGTTACACTGATGAGGGCGGCGGCAGTCGGAGTATCTTCCGGTGGGCGGCGTCATTGTGGCCGCTGGCGGTCATTGGTCGGAGGTAACAGTGGATGTCAATGTATTCGTGTCACTATGTCCAGAATTTGGGGCGGAGATGTCACTGTGGCGGCGGCGGCGGCGGCGGCAGTGGTGACCCGGGCAATGGAGGCAGAGGTGATACGACTGCAGTGACATGTCGGCAGTGACACGGCGATGGCGGCATAGTGGCATCCGACAGTAACATGAAAGTGGTGCAGCCGTGCAGTGACATGAATAAGCATCTTAGAAGCTGTTCTGTTCGTCTTAATCTTATTACTTATAGCTTATTCTTATTTTATTCAGATCAGATCAGATCAGAAAAATTCAGATCAGATCAGATCAGAAAGATTCAGATCAGATCAGATCAGATCAGAATCATTCAGATCAGATCAGAAACATTCAGATCAGATCAGAAACATTCAGATCAGATCAGAAACATTCAGATCAGATCAGGAACATTCAGATCAGATCAGGAACATTCAGATCAGATCAGAAAAGTTCAGACATGATTTATCCCTTTTATTATAATAATAATTATAACAATATTAATAATAATAATAAAAATAATTATTATTATTTTATTATTATTATAATAATTATTATTATTAATATTATTATTATTATTATTCTTGTTGTTATTGTAATTATTATTATAATTACTATTCTTATTGATATTATTATTATTATTATCATTATTATTATTATTATTATTATTATTATTAATTTATTATTATTATTATTCTTGTTGTTATTGTAATTATTATTATATTTACTATTATTATTGATATTATTATTATTATTATTATTATTATTATTAGTATCATAATCATCATTATTACTATGATTACTATGATTATTATTATTATGATATTTATTATTATCATGATTATTATTATTCTTATTACAATTATGGTTGTTGTTGTTATTGTTATTAGTATTTTTGTTGTTGTTATTATATTACACGGAGTAATTACAATTAAAATTATAGAAATAAATATTATAATTATAATTAAAATTATAATTATAGAAATAATTATAACTAAAAATATAATTACAATTATAATTATAGCTTCTTTTTGTTTACTCTAGGAGACGTCTGGGGGAGGGGGTCTGGGGGGATGAAGTAAACTAGGTTGAAACTCACCCCATTGAGTTTCAAACTCGAGACCTCCCATAAGGGAGAGTGAGTCGGCGACCAGCTGAACTGGACCGCTTCCTCTAATTATAGCTATATTTATAACTAGTGTAATACGTATAATAATAATTATACCTATTATAATTATTATAACTATAATTATAATTTTTTTTATAATTATGATTATAATTATAATTATATTTAAATTATATATGGGTAATTACATTTCTAATTATTATAATAAAAATTAAAATTACAATTATAATTTTAGAAATATTTAAATCAGACCATATCAGAAGGATTCAGATCAGATTAGAAGGATTCAGATCAGATCAGAAACATTCAGATCAGATCAGGAACATTCAGATCAGATCAGGAACATTCAGATCAGATCAGGAACATTCAGATCAGATCAGGAACATTCAGATCAGATCAGGGACATTCAGATCAGATCAGACCAGATCAGAAAGATTCAGATCAGATCAGATCAGACCAGAAACATTCAGATCAGATCAGATCAGATCAGAACTTAAAAAATTCAGATCAGAAACATTCAGATCAGGTGAAGAGAACAGCTTCTTAGTTACATTTTTGTTCAAATAATAAATGTGGTCACTTTTTTGGAAATAAGTTTTAATTTAGTAATATTGGGGGAAGCCCCTTTTAAATACGAAGATATAAATGTTATGGTTGAAAAAGTAAAGTGGAAAGATATGTATGTTACGAAGGGAGTGCATTTTTTTACTTTTAATTTCGGCTATATTTGGCAAAACTAACTGAAAAGATACTTTTATGAGTCTTTTAGTAACTGCTAGCTTTTAATGACTAAAAAGATCTTTAAAGGAAAAGGTGGTAGTTTTTTGGTATGTATGAATATGACGATAATTAGAGAGTAGGGAGAAGAGCTGGGGTTCGACGCTCTGGCGACCCTTAGGGAATCCGGCGAATCTGCCGACGCTCTGGCAGGTAAGGATACAATGAATAAGGAGCAACCATCCTCCATCACTTTTGACACCATCGTCGTCCATTTCGGGCAAGATGATTTTCTATCTCAACAAAAAATCTCAGGCGATAACCACATCCAGAAATCAACGCAAACGTCGTCCAAGTCGTTCCCTTCCCTGTTAACTTGTGACAGACGGTAATGAATTCAGATGTGCATAGGGGATCCACAACTGCAGAGGTGAGAGAGCAAGATTTACCCGTTCACAAAAGTGGTTTTCCTGATGGAGGAACTACGTGCGAGACTGGCAATTGTTACCTGACGGGAATGCTTGCACCAGACCAATGGCGGACAACTCCAGCAGCTCGATGCCAGACCCAATGACGAAGAGGATTTTGCTCCAGCAAGGTTGCATCCGGGAACCCTTACTGCTGACGAGCTTATATAAGACGGAGTCAGACAAACTTGAGGCGAAGAGGACGACCAATTGCATCGGCCGGAAGACTTACCCTTTAGTGGCGCTTGCACCCTTGCACCCTCTAAGGAACGTCTGGTCAAATATCAGTGCCGCTTGCACCCTCCTAACACAAAAGATGGTGCTTACAAGTGAGGGTCACGACACCCCGAACGATGAGCAAGAGTTGGAGGTCGAGGGTGGTTCATCCCAAATCGGTAAGAAAGCTAAATCTCTTATTATAGAAAATAATTTTACAAAGAGAAAAGTCTAACAAATCGAGAAATGGTACGCAAGTTGCAACTCTTGCAAAAAAGAGTATAGCTTGAGAATTTCCAACGGATACGGGAGCCTCGGAAGGCATCTTGAGCCCAAGCACACCGTGGAGTACGCGAAAATAGACAAAGGGGAGAGGAAGCAAACACAAATATCGAGGTTTGCAAATGGTCAACCCTTTGGTAATTTCTCCTATGATGATCAAAAACATTTGACTGGTATGTCTCATTTAATTGTTGAAGAAAATTTGCCTTTTATTTTTTCTCAAAGTCTTGCTTAAGAGAATATGCTCAAGGTACTTTAAATCCTCAATTTCGAAACTATAGTCACAAAACGATTAAAAAAGAACTTGTAAGGCAATATGGTTTGAAAACGAAAGATTACAAATATTTCTCGCAAACTTTAATGGACGTGTTAGTATTTGTAGCGATACATGGGAGGATAATCATCATCATTCATATTATTTGGGTTTTCTTGATGGAGGAACTACGTGCGAGACTGGCAATTGTTACCTGATGAGGATGCTTGCACCAGACTAATGGCGGACAACTCCAGCAGCTCGATGCTAGACCCAGCGACAAAGAGGATTTTGCATCCGGGGACCCTCACTGCTGACGAGATTACATCAGACGGAGTCAGAAAAACTTGAGGCGAAGAGGACGACCAATTGCGTCGGCTGGAAGACTTACCCTTCAGTGGCTGCGGGGACATCATCTCTAAGGAACGTCCGGTCAAATATCAGTGCCGCTTGGACCCTCCTAACACAAAAGATGGTGCTTACAAGTTGAATTTGCATCAAGAGAATCACATGCCACAAGTAAAAAATGAGTCTGCTAGTTCCGTTTTTTTTGTCCAATGGGTTTAACATTTTAATAGGAAGTAAATCCTTTCTGTTCATGTTTTTTTTTGTAGCAATTCATGCATATCTAAGATGAAACAGGGAATATCTTCTGCTATCAAGCTTGATTCGAAAAAAGGTTTCTTTGTGAAAAAGTTCATTCCCTGAACTCTTGTCTCACAATTGGTCTCGTTCTCAAATGGGATAGATTGCAATGTTCTTCATATTTCTGAAACCATTCATGGGATCAGGGGCAGTTCTAGGGGGCAGGACCACCCTAGGCCAACTTTTTTTGTTTATATGTAATCTGTGTAGGCTTCTTTGCTTTTTTATTTTATTTATAATTTCAATTAATTTATTAGGCCTAATATGTAATTTTTGTTGACAATTTGAGAATTTTAAAACATAACTAAAAAGTGGAGCTAGACACGTTTTAAAAAAGAATATAAATCTAGCTTTAATGTTTAAATAGTGTTGGTTGTAAGTAAACACATTTGTGGTTGAATCCATAAAAGCACATCTCTCACATCCTTTTAGCCTTTAAGACTTTTTATTCTTTTCATTAGTAAATTAACAATTTATATTATTCTGTTTGGGCTACGGGTGCCTCCCAATCCTAAAACATCATGGGTTTCCGAATTACCAACAGAGAGATGCAGATGCGATGTCCGACGAGCAACTGCAACAACTATTATCCCAACATAATGGGTGCTTTTTCAACCAACAAGACATCCCGAAGACCATTATATTGACGAAGAAGAGCTCGATAATGAGGATGCGGAGGAGGACGAGAAGGCGACCGCCGGGGACGAGGGTCACGACACCCCGGACGATGAGCAAGAGTTGGAGGTCGAGGGTGGTTCATCCCAAATCGGTAAGAAAGCTAAATCTCTTATTATAGAAAATAATTTTACAAAGGCAAAAGACTAATTTTACAAAGAGAAATGATGCGTAAGTTGCAACTATGGCAAAAAAGAGTATAGCTTGAGAATTTCCAACGGATACAGGAGCCTCGCAAGGCATCTTAAGGCCAAGCACATATGATATTGCATTTATTCTTGATTCTCATTTTAGACTTGCTTCTTTGGGAAATTGTTTAGATTACGATTATGGTTCTTTTTTTGGTCAATTTTCAATGTACGACGATAAGCCATATACCCTAAACTAGAATACAACAATGTTAGTAATTTATTTCATCAATTATTCAATGAATTTTATGCACAATAAAATTCATTAATGCACCGCCACCCCAACACGAACATCTCTTTCTAAACAAAAATCAATTTTCAAATCTGCATTTGACAATCTTATGAAAAAAAAAAGTAAATCAGCTCATGTTACTGATCAAATCTCGATTAACGAACTTTCTAAGTATCTAACATTCCGTATCTAAAAGCCTGGTCAAGCCCAGCCCAGTACCCAACCCGGAACCGGTCCAACCCTATGGACAACACTTTCCCAAATTCTCGAAACCACTACTGCTACGATAGCATTCGCCCATCAGAAAAGATGTCAAAAAAACTATTTTTTATTTTTCAATTTTTTAATATTCATTGTACAAAATTATTGGAAAAAAATTCTGACTAATAAAACATGTTTCACCACTTCAGTGACACCCGTGAGAACACTGATGATTGCAACAATGACATTGATAGTCAGTAGTAACACTGATGATTGCAACAATGACATTGATAGTCACTAGTAGCATTTAAAGATAAATCCTTTGAGCGGGCAAAATGTAACACTCTAAGAAGCTGTTCCGTTCATCTTAATCTTATTACTTATTCCTTAATCTTATTTTATTCAGATCAGATCAGATCAGATCAGAAACATTCAGATCAGATCAGAAAGATTCAGATCAGATCAGCAACATTCAGATCAGATCAGAAAGATTCAGACCAGATCAGACCAGATCAGAAACATTCAGATCAGATCAGATCAGATCAGAAACATTCAGATCAGATCAGATCAAAAAATTCAAACATGATTTATCACTTTTATTATTATATTAATTATGATTATTATATTATAGTTATTGTTAATAATATTAATATATTAATATAATAATATTATTAATAATAATATAATAATAATGTTAATAATATAAAATTATTATTATATTATAATAATATAATATAATATAATATAATATAATATAATATAATATAATATAATATAATATAATATAATATAATATAATATAATATAATATAATATAATATAATATAATATAATATAATATAATATAATATAATATAATATAATATAATATAATATAATATAATATAATATAATATAATATAATATAATATAATATAATATAATATAATATAATATAATATAATATAATATAATATAATATAATATAATATAATATAATATAATATAATATAATATAATATAATATAATATAATATAATATAATATAATATAATATAATATAATATAATATAATATAATATAATATAATATATTTATAATTATAATTATAATTATGATTTACAATGTAATTATAATTATAATCATCATTATTATTAATATGATTGTTGTTCTTGTTGTTATTTTTGTAATTATTATTACTTCGGAGTAATTATATATTTAAATTAGTAATTATAGATATAATTATGATTATAGAGATAAATATTATAATTATAATTACAAAAAAAATAATTATAAAATTAATCATAATTAAAAATATAATTACATTTATAATTGTATCTGTATTTATAATTAGTGTAATTGGTATAATTATTATAATTTTAAATTTAATTTTAATTATTATTTTTTTATAATTATGATTATAATTGTAATTTTATTTAAGTTATATTTTTAATTACAATTATAAATCTAATAATTATAATTATAATTACAATTATAGAAATATTCAAATCAGATCAGAAAGATTCAGATCAGAAGAATTCAGATCAGATCAGAAACATTCAGATCAGATCAGAAACATTCAGATCAGATCAGATCAGCAACATTCAGATCAGTTCAGCAACGTTCAGATCAGATCAGAAAGATTCAGATCAGATCAGAAAGATTCAGATCAGATCAGATCAGAAAAATTCAGATCAGATCAGATCAGATCAGAAAAATTCAGATCAGATCAGAACTTAAAAAATTCAGATCAGAAACATTCAGATCAGGTGAACGGAACAGCTTCTAAGTGGTCCACAGCTATAAGCCTATAACATATAGCTCCACAAGATAAGGTAAAATTTGTTTGAGTAAATAAACATGTCCTATCTAAAATGCAAGTCACTGAACACTTTAGAACCTCAACAAAGTAGCAAAATAAGACAATATAGAATCCAAGCCCTTGGAATTGAACCCAAGAATTTTCCTTTGAGCTAAACTTCTGGCATGTATTCTCTCCAATTTCATTTCAGGTCAAGAACCATTCAAATGTGATTGACACCCTCAACACCCAGGTAACAACATTAAAAGAAAAATAATTATTGACCTCCCATGAGGTTCAGTGTATTATATCGAACACCCCTGGCGCTATAAAAAAAGTACACCTACCCCCCTCTATCTTTTAATGATAGTTAAGTAACTTTTAATTTACACTCAGAGAAAACTATAGATTTAGTTCCATAACTTTTGATTGTGTTCACTTTCAATTGTGTAATTGTATTCATAATATTTCAATGCATCAGTTTTTGATCATTTTTTTTGTTTTATTAGGTTCAATTTCGAGTCGAAAGATCTTTAATACATAAAAATTTAATAATCCCACAAAATATGTGTTTGCATGAAAATTACAACATTAATAGCGAACACAATCAAAAGTTACGAAACTATGTCCATAATTTTCTCAAAACGTAAATTGAAAGTTACTAACCATCATTAAAGGATAGGGAGGGGGTGAGAGTACAACTTTTATAGTGCAGAGGTGTGAGTGATGATATATCAAACCTGAAAGGAGCTCATTGATAATTTCCCAAATTAAAAAAAAAAAAAAAAAAAAAAAACTCCAGCATCCACCTACAAAAGGCAGTTCCAACGAAATGTTAGCAGGAGATGGAAGTGGATAGATGGCGTAATCTCAAGATGCATTTGGGTAAAAAGAAAGTACATTCAGGAAATTTTCTTGCTAGCTACACCATCCGAGCAGGGCGGAAGGCTATATCCAGTACCACCATCCACCAAACTTGAACTGACAAACCAGGTGTAAATCCCCATTTGTTAAAGACTGAATTAGATAGATTACATAATAAAATGTAGATACGTACATGCATGCTTACATATTCATTCTTATTTAAGTTAATACTTTCGTAAATTACCAACATAATATCAAGTGCCACCCCATTTGTCTTATTATAAAAATATCCTGAGTCCTGACCAAGGCGCCAAGGCATTTATCCATGGCGATAGAGTATGGGCGTATGGCAACACCCACGGCGCCACGGCATTTGTCCATGGCGATGGCGTAGTTATGGCGTCACCACATGACACAAAAAATAAATACTAAAAATGAACTATAGTCTATAGTCTGGGCCTGGCACCATTCTATATTTTTAATTGGTCCCGGTATCCAAGGCCAAAAAACAAATGAATGGCCTGTCGGACCCCTTTTCGCTTTTTTTGCGTTAAATTCATTCAATTATAAAATTAGTTTGATATTTCATATTTTTCGTAAAATATGGTAAAAATATTTGAGCACATACTCATCAAATTATGTTTTGTCTTTGAACAAATGGGATACTAAATTGTTAAAGAAGAAATATGTTTATATGTAATATTCATATTTTAAAAAAAAAATGTAATATGCATATTTATTACTCCCTCCGTCCCACTAAGATTGGGACAATTCGGTTTACGATGTTTGACCGACGATATATCAAACAGATCTCTGTCCGCTCTCAAATTATTTTTAGGAAAAAAAAATTACATATTTAGAAACTACCTTAAAAGCTTAGCAAAGTCGCAAAAAACTGAATCAAATTTGAAAAAAAAAAATTACGATAATATAAAGTAAGATCAGAGTGATTTGTGTTGACCAAATGAATAGTGTCAGGGACAATCTTAGCGGGACAGAAGGAGTAATAATGAAGCTTTGTAATTCAAATAAAAGTAAATATGAATACAAACGTATTGTTCTATAATAACTCAATACCACATCCTTTCAAATTATAAGAGATATCAATTTATTAGATTTGCCTAAGGTGAAAGTAATTATGATATACTAATACTTTATATCAAAAAATTTAATGCGGTATCACTAAAACTATGTTGAAATCGATAGTCTCATGAAAAACAACGTCGAGTATAATTAAAATAATAAAAGATAAAAGAGAATTTAATGAGTATGCGTTCAAATATTTGTACTATATATTGTGAAAACTGTTAAATATTATATTTAGCTTATGATAGAAATAAATTTAAGGTCAAATATGATACTGTTAATGCTTAGATATACATACATAAATATTTATGTATATTTATATTGATATTTGATTCATTATATGTAGAACGCAGAAAAAAATTAAATTGAAAAGTCAATATGTTTATGCATTATTTACTTTTGTGAAACAGTTAAGTAGTTAGGATTATTGTCGTAAACTTTTCCAGCAAAGATTATTTGTGCCTTAAATATACGTGGCATCTTATTTAACTTGATAGTTTCATATGTAAACAAAATATAATTGTTACCCCGTTTTTTTTATTAAAAAAAAAGTCAATTAGGCTGCATAATTAAATGTGCGTACCTACATGAATATTTACTTTTTTTTTATTTATCTCTAGTACCAAGCATCTTATTTAAGTTAAGAGCTTAGTTAATTACCAATTAGAACGCAATGCACGGGGTTCATAACGGTGGAGGCCCTTACGAAATCCATGGGTAGGATGAGCAATATCATTGTGGCAAAACTGACAACCAGCAGTAGTTTTACCTGCACACATCAAAACATGCGGTGACAAGTTTTACTCTTGTCCCCCCATCCCATAACCTAAACCTACTCTCAAACATAAAAGGGGTGGGACACGCATTTACCACATTTACATTAAGTGGAAACATAGTTAGGGAAAATGGGTAGTACATCATACACCCATTTACTTTAGGTAGGAAAAATATATGGTCGGGACAGAATTCTTGCCATTAACACTCATTGTTTTGTTTTCCCAGGTCCATTATTATCCATGTGTTTCAGCAGCTTAAAGAAACCCCTTCTTATCCCATTTCCACGAGCGCCATGTAGTACTTTCATTTCTTACTTTTTATGTTATCCCATTCCGTCCCGGACCTCAGTATCTAACCGCAGTATGAAGATAAAATCAGTGAAAAAATTACAAAAAGAATTGAAAGAGAAAAAATAAAACAAGCCCATCCTGGAGATTTATATGGACAAGAACGCTTGCGTACTCACAGCTATTTCTCTACACTACCCCAGACCCCAGCCTGAAATCCTAGGGGCAGGAAAGGTTTGCCAGGGAAACCTTTGAAACGCCTTTTTACCTCTTATAATACGACAGGCATTAACAATATTTCTTCGGAGTTTAGAGTCAAAATGAATCTCAGCAAAGAAGAGCTCGGTGGAGGTCTTCTCATTCCCATCTCCGCAGGTATTCCTGCATGGCCTAGCCTTGAAGTTGCAGTGAAAACAGATGCCAGGAGCTAGAAAGCCAGAACTACACCCAGCCTCCACAAGTTCATACCTCTTCCCCTGCAAATTAAATACGGACAGGTGATTATACATTGAAGGCCAACAGCTACAAGGTAATGCAAAGAAGAATAGAACCTGAAGAAGTAAATAAGCAAAACGGATGATACAAATATACAACGGCATTTCAAATCATTAAAGGTTACATACATTTTTCTTGTTATAATATTCCAATGCCATTTTAGCGCAATAGTGGTGTACATCAGTTCCAAACTC